ATAGCATAGGCAATGATTCAGGCCCCCATATGGGGGTCTCCGAAAATAGGGGACCCTAATATAGCACCCTAAATAGTAGGATCCCTGTTATAAGGACCCCCAAATAAGGTACCCTTTATTTTCGGAAACTCCCATATAGACCCCAAAACCCTAAACCCTAAAATGAATCCAGTCTAGAAGTCCCCATCCTCTGCCTTAGAGCTGCCAGCCTTCAGGAGCCTAGACCCAGAGACTCCAAGCTTTCCTTAATCAAGGAATGTACCTTAAATCATATTAGCCCTACTATAATTTAAGGAATATTCTGTAACTAAGGGATATTGGAGTCTCTAGGGAGCCTGGAAGCCCCCCACCGCAGCTACCTGTCAAAGCCCTATATTTGGGTTTCTGAAAACCAGGGATCCTTTGGAGGTTGAGGGTTCATAAAGGCTTTTGAGGGTTTAGGGTTTAGGGTTTAGGGTGCACCCTAAAACCGCGAAAGCAACCTAAACCCTTTTTCAGCATGGGCTTGGATTGTGTGCCAGCGAACACACCTCAACAAAATTGGGTCGCCACAAAAGGCCACGGATTGGGTCCAAATCTGACGCCTCAGACCACGGGTAGCCGGGCGGGTTGAGGGCTTCGGTTTTACCAGGACCCTATGAAACCTACCGTTTTAAACGGTTTAGGGTTTAGGGTTTAGGAAACCTACCGTTTTAAAGGGCTCCTTACCATGGTTTCCGTATGTAGGTCCTTGACTACGCCCGAAATCCCAAACCCGAAACCGTGATCCCTAAAACCCAAAACAGAAGCGACCCAGCCGAGCCGCTGCAGCAGGAGCGCGACCGCAGATTCGCGGCCCACCGCGACTTCAGCCAACCATCCTTAGGTTTGCTTTAAAGGTTGCTGTAAGGGTTTAGGGTTTAAGGACAGGGTTTAGGGTTTAGGGTTTCCCATAAGAGTTCCGATAGTATAATTATAGCCAACCATCCCGAACATGATTTATAGGGGGTTGCTCCCAAGGTTGCTGCAAAGACTCGTATAAGGGTTCCTATAGTCCTATAGAATTCCCTATAAGGGTTCCTATAATTCTAAGGCTTGCCGTAAGGATTCCATAATGAGGGCTTACGCTGAATCGCAAACCGTTTAGGACTGAGGGGAAGCCTCTCGCAGCTTTGAAGGCTCGGATGTGCCCAAGCCCTGCCCCTAAACCCTAAACCCTAAACCGTATCCTAAACCCTCCAGCCCTGCATCCTCAACACCCCCTTTGTTTTCATTAAGGCTTCGGGTTTAGGGTTTCAGTCCTGCACCCTCAACACCCCCTGAAACCCGAAACGTGCCCTAAACCCGAAACTGCTGCAAGGCTTGGATTCATGAACTGCCCTTTACACATTTTAGGGCTTACGGCTTTAAGACTTCGGAGTTTGGATTAGGGGCCTTAATAATTAGAAAAAGGTTTTGGGGCCCATTGTACTAAAGTTATAATAAGAACCACCACCAAAAAAAAAAACACAGGTAGGTCATTATAGAAGCCCCTACATCAATGCTGAGGGAACTTTCGGCTTTAGATTTTTTTTTCTCGCTCGTTGCTTTCCGCTGCCAGAGGCTCCATGCACTTACTTATCAGACTTGGCAGGACTCCTGCCAGCAGTCCCTAAGGGAGCTACTGGTTGCCACACGGGTTGACCCGGTCCTGGCCTCGTGGAGCCCGTGGCTAAGCCCCTACCTGGAAGGACGCCTTCCAGGACGCTAAGCTCCGCCTAACTGTGCTTCAGGGCCTCAGCACTGACGAGGTCTTGTTGAAGCTCAGTCGCGCTTGCGCTGGACCCTTCTCACCCTTTTTGCAGGCACCTGCCTTAAAGGGTTTGTTGCCTGAGCCCGGAGTTTTCCGCATGCGGTGCCTTCCATGTCTGGAAAGACCATGTTGTTGGGCCTCCCTTGTCTGTCTCCATTGCTTGGCGAGCTTGCTCTCACAGGCCTGGGTAGGGGAGCAAAGCTTACCGAAAACAGGCGCCAACTGTTTGAAACCAATCTTCTGGACTCTTTTGCGCTTAACACAGATAAATGCAAAACCCAGACTTTCTAGTTGATGCGACGGGTGCATCCCGGCCAAACTGGGTAAGGGCATTCCTATGCAAGGTTGTGCCAGCTTTCGTTCAAAGACATTGGCCTCCTCGTTTTGCTGGACGTAAAGGTTGCAGGTCTTACAGGAGATTGTGAGGTTTGTGCTCCCCCTGTGGCCTTCTTGCCACTGATGGCCGCTGCCAGCTTCCGCCTGCAACACTTGCTCCAACCTCTGCCTCCGGCTTAGCACGGCGGGAGCAGAAGCCTGCATAGTGTCGCCTTGCCGGTTGCGGCTTTTGATGCGTGGCCTGTGCTCAAAATCCACCTGCGCCTTATCGGCCTCGTCTGCAGTGAGCAGATGGGACACACGCCACCCCAGGAATTGCAGGATTGCACCTACCTCGGCATCCCACTGCTCCACTTCGCACTTGGTCCCGGGCCCAGCAATGCGACGAGCCCTATCCTTGACCAAAGCATCAGCCAGGCCATTGGCACGCCTGCGCCACTCCGATTGAGCCCCGAATTTGTAGGCGAACTCCTTCGGCGCCAGGTGCGAGTTTATCCAGGTCAACTGGACCCGGTGCTTCTGCTCCCGGATCGGGTCCAGCAAGTCCCTGTTGCTGTGGCCTGGTGTCCGCCGCTGGACTCTGCGAAGGACGCCTTCGCAGTCCAGGGTTATATCCATGCCATCCGCGTCCGGGTGTGCTAGAACCACTTCCTTGAGCGCAGCGGCTTCGCCCCGAAAAACTGTTTGCTCCCACGGAAGCGTACCGGTGATAGAGGCTACCACCTCAACTAGCTCACCTGATGCTTCGTTCTCCGGACTACTCACCAGGCGAAAAGCTATTGCTCCCCACACCACCGGCCCTGCCCTCGGGTCCTGAGGTCCAGTGGCGTCCGTGGCGAAGTAGATGCCTGCAGTGTCCCTAACCGGCCACACTCCGTTGATTTCCACCTTCAAGTCTTGAGAGAAGAACTCCCTGGCAGGAGGGAGCCCCCGCAACCATAGACTGGGGCAAGCGCCCGTCAGCCTGAGCGCCCGCACTTCTGGAGGTGGCTCTTCATGACCATGCCACATGGTGCAGTCGTACAAGACATGCTCAATCGTGGCGGCCTGCTGGCACCTTTGGCACCACGCCCCGCTGCCGGCCTTGAGCGCTGCCTGCCACAACGCCTTCAAACCGGTCTGCTGCAGAGGCCCTAGCTTTAAGAGAGCCTTGTGGGCGGCCTTCCAGTCGATGCCATTTTCAACTCCTATTGCGCCCGGCGTCTTGGCAATGTCCAGCCATCGCTCCTTTTGGATTCTTTGACGCAGATGCCACAAAATGGCATGCATTCCAGACGTGGACGCCACATCGTATTGCGCCTGGTCGATGGCCCAATACCGGGGACTGTCAGTCTGCCACCCCAGGTCTCGCATGTAGGTAAGCATAGCACCCAGTGGAGCCGTGACCCGCTGCCAGGGCCATCTGTTCTGTTTCAACGTGTCCGCCAAAGTTGCCCAAGCCTTTGCCAGGCTGCTCTCTGTCTCTTGCGGCCATTGTTTCAGCAGCCGACTGTGTGCTTGGATATGCTGAGCCACGATGAGTTCCTTCGGGTCCGTATTCTTGTGGGCGTGCTCCTCTATCACACACAGGACGGAGCCTACCTTCATTCTACCAAGCGCCTCAGCATACATAAACCTCAGCCATTTCATCCTTCTCGGGGTCACCCCGGGCGCTTGGTGTCCGTAGATGCCCACTGGCTGCAGGGATCCTTTGACCAAGCGAACTTTGACTTTTTTGTCCTTTGGGCCCAGAGCCCTGAGCCGCTTTAGTCTCCCCCTAGCCTTTTGAACGCGGGCCTTGTGTTTGCCAACTCTGCGCCGACTACCGCCTCCGCAGTCCAAGCCCAGGTCGGTCGCAGTGACTGCCACGGGCGGTTCGTCTGCCGTTCTTAACCGCCCAACCGCCGCCTTGGCGGCTCCGGTAGTACAAACGAACACCGTCTTTTTTTGGACCACACCAAAGAGGACGCCTCCAGGTGGGTTCGGAGCATGCGGAAAGCCTTTACTCCACGAATCGCCGCCCGGTTTGGGCAAGAGTGGACGACATCCAAACCTATGTCATCGATCCAAAGATCCTGTTGGGTAAGGAGTCCCGATTCGTAAAGCGACTGCATTGGCTTGTGCATGATCACTTTGCTGAGTCCGGGAGCGAAAGGACACCAAGCAACGAGTCCCTGGTTCGTGCGAATGGGAGGTGCCATAATGGCCTCAGCTTCTATGTGCCGGTCCCCCCCATAGACCTGCACTGCGTTGTTGAGGAGAACTGCAGGGAACTGTCTCTGGATGCCCTCCCGTAGCAAAAGGACGTGCGACACTTTTTCATAAAAACTGGTTAAGTCCACAAGGACTGTAACCCCATGTTTTTTTGTGTAACGCGCGACTTCGTGTCTAACGAGCCGGCACAAGGCCGTGTCCAACGAAGAGTGACCGGGAAGAGCCCGGTCCCACGGAGCATGCTCCCTATACCCTGTCAACCACTCCTCGTAAACATGCCAGCGCAGACGACAATGGGCACGATATAAGAAACTGGTTAACCCGATAGGGCGTTCGTCCTCAGGTGACTTTGGCCAGAGAGCATACAGCACCATGAAACCTGCTTTGGAAGGACGCCTTCCCGCTCCCACTGCATCATTTCTTCAGTCAGCACTCGCACGGCATCGGGAGTGAGGCTGCGAAGCATGTCGGCTGACCACTCGTCTGGGCCGCACGCTTTTTTCCCGATCTTTGCAGACTTTCGGACCGCGCCTTCAAAGTTGATCGGGGGCAGGGTTTGTGCCTCCTCCTGGGCTAACCTGCGCACGCGAGTCTTGAGGGACCTGAGACATCCGGCGTCCATTTCAGCATCCCTCGAACACCACATTTCCCACCAATGCTGACGGCGAGCATGGATGCGCACCTCCATGGCAAGCTCCTGGAAGGGCCTCTGAACATGGGCCTCGTGACTCTTCAAGAGCCCGCCACAAAGGCCGCATATGTGCAGACTGGGCATTGCTCAACCATTCCTGGTAGCGCACCGCGATGTCCTGCCTGTCTGCCTTGGTTGCCGCCTGCAGCTGCTCTTTGGCCACCCTATGAAGCTCCGAGCGATGCTGTGAGAAGAGAATCGCATCCTCCCACATTCTGTCAGCATACTCCGCTGCCGTCATGCCGGGATGATCCTGCCACTTCTCTGGCATGTGCGTGAGGTGCTGCTGCAACTTCGCTTGGACTGATGTGGGGCAGGTTTTTTGCGGATACGACACGTACCAGACGCAGATCCGGTTCCAATACCCCGCAAGGTTACCCTTCCACCGGAGACATTGCTGCTGATTGGGGGTTCAGGGCTTGCGGGCCCCTGCGAGGTTCCAACCTCTACCAGAAGCTTCCCCTAGCAGCAGGGACGACTCCACACTGTGGCTGACATCGGCCAGAAACCTCGTAGCCTGGTCAATGTCCACATGCGACATAACCCTGACAAAAGGGGCCGGGGACCAAGAGAAGGACGCCTCCTCTTTGGCCACCACACCCGGGAACCGGAGAAACTGCATCATGGGCAATTGCCCTGCCTCCCACCTGAGTTTAATATTGACTGCCGCATGTGGACGCCATGGAACGTTCCAGTCAACATGGGCTTCGATTAGCCCTTGAAGGCGTTTGTGGGCCCAGACGAAGTCAAGTTCACCTCCGGTTCCACACGTAGCCTCACCTGTACCTAAGGAGACCCCATTGGCCATTTCCGCAAGCCTGGATTGCCGAAGGGTTTCAATGTCGACATTGAAATCCCCCGCCACCAACCATGGGATCGCCAAGGCTTGCAGTGTGGCCAGTAACCTTCCCAGGATTTTGGCATTCACCGGAGTGCTGGGGTCCTGGCCGTCTTCCAGGTAAAGGCTACCAAAAGCCACCTCCGAACCCACGAATCGGGCACCGCCAAAACAAAACCCTTGCCCTCAACCTGGAAATGCTCAAGCACACGGAAGTTAAGGTGGCGCTTAGCCATAAAAGCGATTCCACCGCTGCTGCCCCCCCGACCAGTGGCTTGAGCGGGTTCGGTCCATACTCGGTAGAGCGCTTCCATGCCAGCCTGCATCGCCGGCGAATCTTTTTCCAGAACGCGGGTTTCCTGTATCAAAGCCACGCCAGCTCCCTGGTCCGCCACCCAGTGTTTGACCTCACTTCGCCATGTTGTTATATTAGCGCTGACACACTCAAACACGGAAGGACTCCTCCCGTGCTTGAGCTGTGCAATCACATCCCGACAAGCCTCGATGCACCCCACTGTGTCATCCGCCTGCCTGGACAGGAGGTCAATCATGCGGTAGCACAACCAATGAGCCAGAGTTCCTTCCTCCAGTTCGGACTCGAGTTGAGTAACGATGTCCACGATGGCATGCTCGTGCTCGGACATGCTGCTCAACTCAGCCTGCTTCAGGACGTGAAGGAGCCTGGGCCATTCCTCGCGGATCTGGGGTTGAACCCTTTTGCCCGCCTTCCGTTCCCGCTTCGTTTGATGTTGGGTTTTGTTGACCGTGGGGCTGCAAAGGTCAGACCCGCTAGATGAAGGATTTTGGGCAATCTCCCCCGTATCCCACGGTTCCGCCTCCACCGCCCAGTCAGTTTGAAAAAACTTTGCCCCCGTGATGCCATCCCAAGTGGACGCCACTGGGGGTTTGCGACTCTGACTTTTGCAGAAATGTGAAACGCTATGTGTGCGCCTATGCTTGGTCACGTGGAACCACCCCTGCTCCTGGCAACCATCAACTGGAGCACCGCGGAGACCGAACTCCGCACCTAAGAGAGACGCATCCTCAAACTGATGACCGCTTCGGGCCCGATCCCCTGAATTACCTGCTTGGGAGGACGCCTCCGTTCGCCACTCGACCGTACACTCAGGCCATAACAATGGAAAGAGATTGAGAGTGAATGGGCCAGTGGACACCCGCCAACCTTGTTGCGATAAGGCGTCGCCTGTTTGCGAGGGACGCCCTCGCCTGCCTCCTACTCCGTCGCCTTCGCGCCATCCTCAGCACCGTATGGGTGCGCACCATGATGTACGGGCTGCCGCACCGGTCCAAACCCTCCTCCCCCTGGTGGAGCTTCAACCAGCGGCTTTTCTTGGTTACCCTGCAACCCACTAGCCGTGGCTATGGGCGCTTCAAGCTTCATGGCTTTCAGAAAGGCCTGGAGTGATCGAGATCCCAGCTGCTTCCAAGGCGGCTAAGCCGTCTTCAATCCTAAGCTCCTGTCCTCTATCCTCCTGCACATCGGCTGGTGTGGGGACCCTCTCCTGCAAACTTTTCTGGAGCTTCTCCACCAACACGTTTTGCTCATCGACCTTGCGACTCATGCTTTTCATCTCCTCCAACAAGGTGGCATAAGTCGCCTTAGCCTTATCAATCCGGAGCTGTAGGGCAGCTTTCTGAGGCTCTTTAGGCACTGCATGGCGGTAGTGTAGGTGCTGAGTTCCTGATAGAGTGCTTCCTTTGGTGACGGTTTTTGCGGCTCGGTGGGCCCCCCAAAACTGCCCTAACTGCTTCAGGTAACTCATCCGCGTATTGCCGCCAAAGCTCTTCTAACCCCTTAGGCGGCTCCTCCGGTGGCTGTAGCCCTACGCGGATCAGGAGCTCCCTCTGCATGGGGTCGGCCTGCTCCCACAATTGGTGGACTGCCTCATCCACTTCATAATGCCCTTCCTTATGACCCTGCGCATCCTTAGCCGAATGGTTAAGGCCGGGCGGCGGGCTAACGGCATCCATGTTCCACCCCGATGCGAGGAAAACAGTTTGCACTCCCATTGGTAGCTGGTCCCACATCTTTCGCACCAAGCCTCCAGCTTTACCCCACTTGACGCTTTTGGTGGATTCCTGCACGGTTCTTGTTTCCGCGCTTTGCGGGTGTGAAGTCTTATCTGCTCGACGCCTAGTTGGCCCAGCAGGGACGCCCCACTTGTTTCCACACTGATTGCATGTGGGGTGTTTTTGCAGGCGATCCTGGTACATCCACTGGCCTCGACAGTGATTACACACCACATAGGGCCTGGCAGTGTTCTTAGACCAGGTCATTCAGACAGCCTATCTGTCCTTTGGGCACGAGCCTTTGGGCCCAAAAGGACTTGAGCCCTTGAGCAGAAATGGCTTGAGCCATTAGAGTTTTTTTGGACACTCACACTCGGACAAGCCTGGCAAGGTCTGCAGGGATACGGGTTTACCAAGGCAATACTTTAAGTCCGCGCTCCAGGCCCCTATTTCTAAACCCTGAACCCTAAACCCTTTTTTTGCATCAGGACTTGTGCCATCGCCTTAACACTGACTTCCACAATGCGCTGTAAACCCTAAACCTTAAACCCCAAACCCAAGCTGGACTGGGCCAAGGCGCAACCTGTCCTTGCATCGCCTGCATGAGTCGACTTAAAACGGGGTCAGGATTGATGGGTTTAGGGTTTAGGGCTTAGGGTATAGGATTTGGGGTTTAGGGTTTGGGTTTTAGGGTTTAGGGTTTGGAGTTTGGGGTTTAGGGTTTGGGGTTTAGGGTTATTGCTATTACTGAAGCGCGTCGAACTGTTGCCCCCCAGTTACGAGTCGAGTTTGTGCTGAGAGGTTCCCGTGCATTTCTCGAGTTGTGGGTTTGAGGGTTTGGGGATTCAGTCTCTTAGTCGTGCTCTCGATGATTACACTTCAGTTGGCGTTTGCTGATTATTTGTGCTCTTGTCCTTGTTGTGTACTTTTTTCATATTACCTCCTGCTGACAGACAGACACCTCGCACTGTCTTAAGAACTGGGTGCGGTTCGAAATGCTGGCTTAAGTGGGAATCCACTTCAGTTCTACAGAAGTTCATGGAAGTGCACAGATCACGCCTGCACATCATGTCGGAGTCCGAGAAACAGACTGGGGCTTTAGGCTGTGCACTGACATGACTTGCATGGCAGTTTTTTATGTAGGTGTGCCCCTTTGCAAAAAAAAAACCTAAACCCTAAACCCCCAAACCCCCAAACCCTAAACTCCCTAAACCAACCTCAATCCCAACCCAGAATCTCTGCGTGGATCGGCTCCAGCCATTTTGCGGCTCAGGGCTTAAGATCTCGGCTTGCAGAGGTTAATGTAGGGGCCTTAATAATTGGAATAGGGTTTTGCGGGCTCTTTTACTATAACTCTAGTAAGGAACCCCCAAATAGTGTAGGTAATTATTTGGGCCACTATAACGCCCCTATATTACTTGTCAAATGTTGTGGACCAAGGCTGCAGGACCCTTTGAGGGCCAGGGGGAGGCTCGAAGATGGTCTAAGATGCGGACCGTAATAGTTGGGTGTATCTGGGACTCCTATTGAAAATTGACAAGCGTCGATTATTCGGTGCTCTTCTCGGGAAAATGGAAGTAAAGCATCAACCCTGCTCCACATGGGCCTGAATCTCCGACATCAGCGAGGATGCTTCTGGTGCCTCCGGGGCGTCTGCCTCTCATGGCGGACGGCTAAAATTGCTTGAAGATAGGTGCGTAGCTAGAACTACGGTAGTTGCAATGAGCGATGCATGTACAGCCTCGTGTGTTTTGAACCCCAGTTGAAATAAAAATGGATGAATACATGTTATGTGTATATATATATATATATGTGCAAAATATGACCGACACATACATGGGTGTTGTCCAATATTCCTTGGTCCTAGTTTTTGCCCTTGGTCCGCGCTTGCGCGGACCTTTCGCGCACGCACAAATATGCAAATATGCATTCGCATGACACGAAATTACCGGACAACTGCATAAACAACCGATGGTTATGTTTGAGCATGCTTTGACTCCATGGTGGCAGTAGCAGTAGCAGTGGCTGCCGTGTAGTATAGTAGTAGCAGTAGCAGTCGTAAGTAGCAGTAGAAGGGGTAGTAGTAGTAGTAGTAGTAGTAGTAGTAGTAGTTGTAGTTGTAGTAGTAGTAGTAGTAGTAGTAGTAGTAGTAGTAATAGGAGTAGTAGCATACAGTAGTAGAAAACTAGACAAGTTCCTGGGCATTTGAGACGATCCTAAACCTCTTCAGAAATCGATTTCTAGCATCGCTGCTTACAAAGATTCAACTTTTGGCCCCATGCCAGATTCCTGGACATTCGAGACGAATCCTAAACCTCTTCAGAAATAGACGATTTCTAGTATCGCTGCTTATACAAAAAAACTTTTCCATGCCAGACTCATCGCTGCTTCTACAAAGATTCATCTGGCTCATGACAGACTCCTGGGCATTTGGGACGAATCCTAAACCTCTTCAGAAATGGAAGATTTCTAGTATTGGTGTTCCACTTGGACACCATAAGTTGTATGTTGCGGGAAATGTCCAGGAGAGGCGAATGCACAATCTAGAGGGGAGACTACGAATTTGCAGGACATTAGAAAGAGAAGGCGAGCAGCCTGACTGGCAAGCCGGCCATGGTGTGGTGGTTCCTCACCCGGAATCGAGGTTTTTAGGTGTTTAAGGGCAATTGAGCCCAGCTCAAAGGCAAGGCAGGACACAGGCAAGGTTTCCAGGCCTCTCGAACCCCAAAACAAGATGCCCTTTTCGGGTGGGATGGTGCCAAGCCTCTCCAAACAGAAAAAGGTACCTTTTTTGAACTCCAAACCTGCAAACGTCAAAAACCTCAGCTGGGCAACAACAAAAAGGTACCTTTTGGTTGACAAGTCGGACTGGGCGCTATGCAGAAACAAACATGCAATATGTGATCATGGTATTGGATTGTACAAGTGGGGGTCCGTAGGCAGGTGTCTTCTGGGACGTTTCCCGACCTGGAATTGAAATTTTTGGGTGACCAAGGGCAATTGGGCACGCGGGCAGGGACAGCACCGGTCTTGAAGCAGTTGCAGAGTGGTTTGAAACGCTGAAAACCAGTTCCGAACTAGTTTGGAAGCAGTTTCAGCCATTTCCGATAAGTAGATTCTGGGGAGATGCAGGCTGGATTGTGCTCGATTGTGGTACAACAAAAGTTTCGGATGCTGGCTGGGTTTTGCTTGATTGTACAGTATTAGTACTGGACGTGCCTCGTTTCGGATGCTGGCTGGAGTACAACACTAGTACTGGAAGTGCCTGGTTCTGGATGCAGGCTGGGTTGTGCTGGATTGAAGGACAATATTAGCACTGGAAGTGCCTCGTTTCGGATGCAGGCNNGGCTGGATTGTGCTTGCTTGTAGTACAATGTGAGTACTGGAAATGCCTCGTTTCGGATGGAGGCTGCATTGTGCTTAGTACAACATTAGTACTGGAAGTGCCTCGTTTTGGAAGCTGGATGGATTGTGCTTGACTGTAGTGCAATGCAAAATTAGTACTGGAAGTGCCTCGTTTTGGACTGGCTGGATTGTGCTGGATTGTAGTACAACATTATTGGTCTTGGACATGCCTCGTTTCGGATGCAAGGATTGTGCTTGGTTGTAGTACTACTGGAAATGCCTCGTTTCGGAAGCTAGATGGATTGTGCTTGACTTTAGTGCAACATTAGACTGTAGGACAACATTAGTACTGGAAGTGCCTCGTTTCGGATGCAGGCTGGATTGTGCTTGGTTGTAGTACAACCTTAGTACTGGAAATGCCTCCTTTCGGATGCAGGTAAGAGGGGTCTCCCTGATACGACCTAGGAACCCTAAACCCCAAACTCCACATACTACCTAAGAAATCTCCCGAAGACTACCCCTGGACCGTAACCCTAAACCCAAAACTGCACATACTACCCAAGCAATCTCCCTAAGACGACCTAGGAACCCTATGGGACGCAAGGCCCTCAAGGAGAACTCTAAACCCTAAACCCTGAACCCTGAACCCTAAGCCCTGAAACCCTAAACCCAGAACCCTAAACCCTAAAACCCTAAACCCAGAACCCTGAAACGCTAAACCCAGAACCCTAAACCCACGCAAGGCCCTCGGAGAGCCCTGAGGTGTCGACTGCTGAACGACGGGCCTCAGTGCCTGCACCGAGGTCGCCACCCAGGCCTGGTTTAGGGATTTAGGGGTTTAAGGGTTTAGGGTTTAGGGGTTTGGAGTTTTAAGGGTGTGGGGGTTGAAGGGTTTAGGGGTTTAAGGATTTAGGGCTTAGGGGTTTAAGGGATTTAGGGTTTAGGGGTTCAGGTTTAGGGGTTCAGGGATTTAGGGGTCTAGGGTTTAGGAGTTTATAAGGGTTTAGGGGTTTAAGGGTTTAGGGTTTAGGGGGTTAGAGTTTAGGGGTTGAGTGTTCATGTGGTTTATGTGGTTTTGGGGGTTAGGGTTTAGGGGTTTAGGGTTTGGGGTTTAACCAGACGGCACATACCAAAACCTTCTTTCCGATCTCTTCTAGCCGAAGTACAAAACTCCAAGCGCTGAAACCTACAAGTCCTGCAACCTTGGTCCGGCAGCTATACTAGGGACTAGGGTTTAGGGTTTAGGGTTTAAGGTCCCAGAAAAGCACATAAGCCAAAATTAGGATAGGGATATCCCACATAAATCCTCTTATCATGAAGCCCAGTAAAGTAGGGATATCCCTATAAAATGCTTATGCTTATGTCTTTTGGGGGTTCCTAATATACATCGACTTCCACAGACTCCAAACCCTCAGAGCCCAATACCCCTTAATAAAGGAACATACCTTAAATCATAATAATACGCCCCTCATAGCTTAAGGTATCTTGCTTAAAAAAGGGGTGTCTTGGGCTTTTTTTTGGGAACCCTGAACCCTGCAACCCCGACCTCCGTACGTCTCACGCACCCACGCAATGAAGGTCCGGCTGTTGCCTCAGTACAAAGGTTTAGGGTTTAGGGTTTAGGGTTTAGGGTTGGTCCTGGTGGGCTTTTGGATTTGATTTCGACTCTCACACTCGCACATGGCCGGCAAGGCTCCGCGTAGTTATGGATTTGATTTCGGGTTTAGGGCCGAAATTAAGGGCTTTAGGGCTTATAAGATTTTTGGGATTGAAATTGCCGAATTAGGGGCTTTAGGGCTTATAAGGTTTTGGGATTAAAAAGGGCCGAATTAGGGCTTATGAGATTCTGGGATTGAAAC